CTGGAATTGGCTTTTCTAGTCCAAAATGGCCTAAATCTTGACCTGTGGAGTGCTAAGCCATGTTTACATAGGCTGCTGTGGAGGTGGGTCTTTGCCAGAAATGTATGGGTGAGAAGAGTTTGCCTGCAGAGCACCAGTCTAATTTTGTATTTAATTTATGGCAGGGGGGCACCAAGAGGCTTGGTTGGATCCCCTTATCTAAAATGTACAGATGAGCTAATTTGCCAAAGCTGGAAGCTTGCCCAACTAATGTACATCTGTGCTCAAAATAAATTACTCTGGCTAGATAGCTGTAAATGATCAGACTCAATTAGTGGAGCTGTAAAGCTAGACTGCTTCAAATTGTCATGACAAATCAGACCATGTCCCAAGGGTTTGGGTAGCCTTTCTTAACTCTAGGTGATCGTGAAGAGCAGAGCAAGTAATGAAAGAGTAAACTTGTACCCATTTTTTGGTGTAGATGTGTTTTACTTCACTAGGTTTTAAGATAACCCTATCTGACTGGGAGGGGAACTAACTCTTTCTCTCTTCCTGTTTGGGCCATGTGGTGAGGGCATGATATTAAAGCTTGGTTCTGCTGCTTTAATCTGATTGAAACTCTACCTTACTATGTAAATCTGAGGCTAGATAAACTTACTCTTGAGCTACCACCAGGGGATACATGAGAAAATTGGTTTTAAAAAAGTGTTTCAGCCTGGGGCTTTTCAGAAAGAGAACCACCTAGGGTGACCAGATGTCCTGATTTTTATAGGGACAGTCCTGATTTTTGGATCTTTTTCTTATATAGGCTCCTATTACACCCCCCCCCACCCCCATCCTGATTTTTCACATTTGTTGTCTGGTCACCCTAGAACCACCACCCAGAACACAGCTTATACATTTAGTTGCACTCTTGAAGTGGAAGGAAACTGTTAAACTAATTCTCTAAGATTACTATTGCATGTTAAAACTAGCCACTAGTAACTGGGGAACATAGTTATGGTACTTCATAACTATGGCCTACAGTCCAGCAATGGGAACTACAGGCTTTCCCAAAACTGTCCCAGTGTTATACATGTATTTACTGATTCTGCTTTGTTTCATTGGTTTGTATGTCTTGTAACTGCCCTATAGGAGTCTACTCCAAGGTTTCTTATTACTGTTGTGGTAATAGGACCCACTCAGCCAGGTGCTTTGTACATTCTGTTGTGAACAAGGTTACATCTGAACACCAGGACTGCAATAAACTGAGGCTGAACTAACCCCTCCCTTCCACTGTGGTCTCTAATGCACTGCTGCAGAACCATACAGTAAATTTATCCAGCTTACCCCTGTTAAATGGACATGGCAACAATGAAAATCATGATTAAACTAGCTGATCCAGTTCCTATTCACTTGCAATAGGTATCTAGACCTTTAGAAGAAAAAGCTTCAGTTTCTAAACTGCTGTTACATTTAGCTACATTATTTGAGTGAGTCAAAGAACCACCACATCAATATTTTGTGCCAAGACCGGTTCATGGATAAAGCACATGTGCCTGTAAAACATGAACTGAATAGACAATTATGCCATGGGTGAGGGAGTGGAGAGACCACCCTCTAACAAGAATGGATATGCCTGTACAAGAGAAACTTACCTTAGTACCTTCCATGGAAGGTACTAAGGTAATCTCCAACTCCAGTTTTTAAAGCTATGTTTAACTTATTGCTAAGCAAACTAAAACCTTCACATCACAATATAAAATTAACTTACTTGCAGTTTTCATGCTATTATGGTTTCTGGCCTCTGGTAACAACTAAAACTCTCTACTTAAATTAGACAATTGGAAGAATTCAGGTTGTCTCATAGCTCTCTTGTGAGAGAAGCTGTGCAAGTTCTTTACCAGCTGTAGGGTCAGTTACACTTGAGGGGCTGGGTGTCTTTCTAGTTTGATATCTGAAATAAGCATTTATTGGCTTTGAAGTACTGTTAATCAAAGATAATTTAACCATTCCTGCCTCTGGCATAGGCACACCTACATAGCTTTACCTGTCACTTCTCAACCAGACTTGAGCTTTACCTGAACAAGGCTGTCTACTAGTGTCTTTTTAGACTTTGTATCCACACCAGCTGCTCTTCAGCCATAACTTACTTGCAGATTTAGAGCTGAAGCCACCAAAGATGAGAAGAGCTGCTCTATAGTCAAAATATACACACACTAAACAGGAAGGAGCTTGTGTTCTGGGGGCTTCTCTAAGTGGCCCCTTTCTACATTTTAGTGAGGACAATGGTCCTAATATTAGCAATCATAACAGCAGCCTAGACAGACTATATTAGATAAGGGGATCAAGGCCCAGTTTAGAGCTGAAATTTATTCACAAGCTGACTCAAACAGGTATTTGGATATTTTTCTTCCTCTCTCTACCCATGAAAAGCGAATGCTGCTTCAACCAAATTAACGTGGGGTAAGAGGAATGCTGCAAGTTCTTGGCTCCTACAATGCTATAATCTTAACACATTAGCTCTATGAACTACTAGGCAACTCTCATTAGGCACTGCTGCTTTGTGAAAGAGCACATGCAGAGTTATGTTCTGTCCCTCTGAGTTCAACATGAAGGGAAGTTCCAGCAAATTATCCCTAATCTAAGTAGGGAAGGCTTTTGTGACCACATCAGGGAGTCTCCCTGTGCACAAAGCAGTGACTGCCAAGTAATACCAAGTTCTTATAGCACTTTTTAGTGGTAGATCTCAAAGCACTTTCCCCAAGTCAATATTACTTTCCCCATTTTACAAATTGGAACCTGAAGCTCAGAGGAAGTGACTTGCCCAAGCTTATTTACCTGAGCTGGGACTAGAACCCACGTCTCCTGAGGGTTCAGTAGTCTATTCAGTATGCCACACAGCTCTGATTGGTTAACTCCTCCCACTTATTGTAGCTACTTGTATGGACCTTGTGGTAATAGTTGAGCACCTCAAACAATAAATCACCACCCCAATAAGTTAGGAAATAGCTCTGAGGCTTAGATCAATGCCTTAAGTACAAATTTATCATCTACCTTTGCAATATAGCCTTGTGTTCAATGCCTCCTTAAGTTCTGTGCTTGCAGAATTATAGTCCAGTTTCTGAATATCAGGACCCTAAAGTCCACCTGCAAGTCACTTAAGGTTTTCCTTAAACCCACACCAATTACCTTTTGTGTTGGCTAGGTTGAATTTAAGCCATGCATTTCCCCATCCAGAGCAACCTCCTAAGAGCCCCTTTGTCACATGCTGCAGGGGATACGGCACAGGGATGGGGACTCAGGAGCCAGCTCCTATTCTCACCTCTGCCACTAATTTAGAAAGTGATTGGCCTAAACTCACCCACTGTCTCATTTTCCCCCTGCCACCCTTCTTATTTAGATTACTTTTAGAAAGCACTGCTGTGCTTCCTCCCCCCCCCCAAGAGACTTTTAAACAACAAGCAATTACCTTAACTCTCCCCCAAGACCTCACATTCAAGAATTAATTTAACCACTAAAGGGCAGTTTTTCCAGTGACCACAGCTTTGTCATGAAAACTATGATCAATTACAACACAGGTTGCTGCTCTAGCACTAGCAGCATGGTTAACTCTCACCCAAAATTCAACTTTTTTTTAGTGTAGATCCAGCAGAATGCCTTTTGCTCTATTTTATGGGGCTGTGTTCTACCTTATGCTACAACTTGACCAGCTAAAGGTGTTACTCTTAACCTGCACCAGGAAAAAGTCACAGATTGGTTTTAGTTAGCTAAATCCAGCCTACACATGACCACTTTTCCTAATAAAAAGGAAACCAAAAGAATGAAACCAGTCAAAAATAATCCTCACCAAAGGGGGAAATGGGGTGCAAGGTACATCAACCCCCCAGGTATTTTCATGTTAATTTCAGTTTAGCACTGATACAAGGAAAAGTGGAGAGAGGCTTATCCTAGTTGGCACTGTTCCAATTTCCTTTCAGAGTACTATTACACAAACCAACCAGCAGGGGGTAGTGCAATAACATGGCTTGCACCCTCCATCAAGGGCCACCTGTTGCTTTTCACTATTGTTTCTTAAAGGCAAGGATAGAATGCTGCAATTGGAGTTAAGCTTCAGTCTTATTTGATTACACGATGTTGCATCAGTTGATTTATTGCATAAATGTTTCATGTAGAGACAGTTGCTAATGTGGTAAGTTATGGTTTCAGAGCTCTGCTGTTATTTCATCTCCCCAAGTGCATGCCTCAAACTATTAAGGGAGCTATTTTCCAGATATTCTTCTAAAACATTTAATTTGCAATTAACCCTGGTGGCACAGGGCAAGCTAAAACACAACACCCAGATATTGGATGGGGGGGGGGGGAGGAATCAGTGACATCATACCTATTCCAACATGCTAGTCTACAAGGAAATTAGAACCCATCCTTTTTTCAGCTGCCTTGTATGTGGAACTGGGAAGAGAACCTGACTGTTTAAGTACCTTAGTAGCATAGGAAACAAACTCTGCTGAATTGGTCTCAGAACTTTTCTTCATTCTGTTTTACTGAGCTTAAAGTCAAGCTCCTAATGAGTTACCACCATCCAACATTGCTTGGCACTCTTCTAAAGAATAGTGTGGTTAGGCTTGCTCTTTCAGCATGGGTAGTGACATCTTATTCACCTACCATTTCCCCTGCAAATTCTGTTGGATACTGGATTCTTCCCTTTCTGTCTTGGAGTGTTGTTGCATGCTATTTAACAGGTGTTGTATTTCATGCTAGAGATGGTTGAAATGGTTGCTGTACATAGCTTATTTTTATAACCTAAAATACCACCTAACAGTGTTACATATGTTACAGTTCCAGGGTTACCGCACTTCTGCAGTCTCCTCAAAGGTATCATTTTAGGTCTCAGGCATTTAGCTGCCATCTGTTTGGTTCAGGACTTGTGTTCCTCTCCCTCCAAAGGAGAATTTTAGGATTGCTCTTCCTTTGCAATTCATTGTGCTTATCCCAGCAGTTAAATATTTAAAAAAAACAAAAAGTGACCATACTAGGCAAGAAAAGGTCAAAAGATAGACATGCTTTTTATTTTTACTCAAGCAGAACCATAGAAATGAAAACATAGCTTGGATTTTATCCCCATTACTACTTTGGTGCTGAAGTATACAATTGCTCCAATAAAACTCAGGCTTGTTCTCCATCTTAGAAGAGTTTGAGATGGCCAGAAACTTTATCCACTACATCAGCTGGTCCTGGTCCGATACCTAGTACAGTCCGGGAGCCTGGTGCTATCTGAGTACGACCTGCATCTTGGATTATACTCACAGTTAGTCCCAGCTGTTTAGCATCAACAAGGAGTTGAACTAGGGACTCTTCATTAGGGGCTTTGAGAACCACTTTTGGCTGTCCACAATACTCCCACTGTTTAAGCAGCTCAGGATTTCTTCGTTGAACTTGCTTGTAGGCAGAAACTGCAGCATGAGAACACTGTGCTGCTACTTTACCCTTTCCCATCTTTAAGTCATTACGGACTATCAGCACCATCTTGTATTCTCCAGACTCTCCCATGATACTGGCTTCGTTCCCCAGCTCATTTGCAAACAGAGGCATTTTGGCTTTGGATGGTCTAAAGAATCGCCCGCGCATGCCCCAGCCCACGCATACTCCACATGCGACTCCTGCAATTACGCTGAGGACACCCGGTTTAAAGAGAGAATCCATAGTAGCAGATTGGGAGATTGACTAAAACAAAAGAGATGTTAAGATTAGCTTAATAAAACATATCCTTTCATTTTATATTACACCTTTCATTGGAGCACCACCATACAGCACGGGACGGTGTAGTTATCAGAACGCAGGTCTCCTGAATCCTAGTCCCCACTGCTTCCTATTAGAGGATACTCATCCAGGTGAGAATGTTTAACTCATGTTAACATTTTACAATATCTTAAGGTTTTGGTTTTTTTTAGCTTTCTGGAATCATGACCAATTCTTTATCATTGAGAAACAAAGGGATATTCGTAAGTGGAGAATCTATTCCATTTTCACGTACTATGAGATTGGGAACTTCTGTTCTCCCTATCTACCTCCTCTACTCACACATCAACAAAAGTGTTATGTTCTGATTGCAAAAATCCTCATTGCTGATGAGGCACAAGCCAGAAGGAACTCAGATCAACTTCTGGATTCCATGTGGCATTTATAGAGCTGGTAATTAGGAAAAAAGTTTACTTGCATATACTCAGTAAATATTTACAGAACAGATTGGAGCTGGTGCTAGTGAGATAAACATGAAACCATATTATGCCTCTTTTCTGATCTCTGGAGATGCCCAGCATCCATAACCATAATTTAAACTAACGAGAGCTGCAGTGCTCAGCACCTCTGAACGTTAGGTCATTGTGGGCACGTTCTTGGGAGTGTAGGGAAGCCTCACGGTAGTATGATGCTATGTGGTTCATATACAGCAAATTCTAGTGTCACAGTTCAGTGGCTACCAGACATGAACTATGTTTTGCTTTTGCTTTGTGGCAACAATGTTGAATGGAGCAGTCCTCCCCAGGAAATGCATTGTTAGAAATTCTGCAGCCAAAATTTTGCTTACTTGAGGAAATGTAAAAAAACACCAAAAATCAACTGTATCTGAGGCTTAGGGGAAGAGGGATAGCTCAGTGGTTTGAGCATTGGCCTCCTAAACCCCAGGTTGTGAGTTCAATCCTTGAGGGAGCCATTTAGGGATCGGAGGCAAAAATCTGTCTGGGGATGGGTCCTGCTTTGAGCAAGGGGTTGGACTAGATGACCTCCTGAGGGCCCTTCCAATCCTGACATTCTATGATTCATGGCCAGAAAGCATTATTTGCTTTAGTAGCCAAAGGGGAGAAGCTGCAACAGACTATAAAGATCTGGGAAGTAGGAACAAGTGCTAACTGTAGCACAGTTTTATAGTGAGGTCATGTTTCTTGCTCCATGGAGGATTACATATAACCAGAATCACTCTCTGCACTTTATGATCCAGTGTCACAATTTGAGATATTTTGTTCTCCTTCAATATAAGAAAAGTTTCTCTCTATCCAGTGCGTTATGTGCTTTGTGTGTACAGTTTCCCCACAGTCCAGACCATGCTCTATAAACAGATCTAGTGATTAGAGAAAGAACAGCTAGCTAGTCCCTACCTGTCCTGGGGCACCACGCTGTGCCCCAGAAGTGGCCAGCAGGTCCGGCTCCTAGCTGGGGGGCCATAGCAGTCCATGCGCTGCCCCCATCGCAAGCACCGGCTCTGCGGCAAATGGGAGCTGGGGGGCGGTGCCTGCAGGTGAGAGCAGCACGTGCTGTGAAGCCTCCTGTCCCCCCCGCAGGAGCTGGACCTGCTGGCTGTTTCCAGGGCGCAGTGTGTTGCCCCAGGACAGGCAGGCAGCCTGCCTTAGCCCTGATGCGTTGCTGACCAGGAGCCACCTGAGGTAAGCCTGAGCCCACCCAAACCCAGAGCCCCCTGCTGCAGCCGAGGCCACACCCCCAGCTCAGAGCCCCCTCCCATACTCTGAACCCCTTATCCCTAGCCCAGAGCCCTCACCCCCCCTGCACCCCAAACCCCTGCCTCAACCCACAGACCCTGCTTGCACTCCGAATCCCTCAGCCCCACACCCGAGCCTGGAGCCCCCTCTCGTGCCCCATCCCCCAACCTGGAGCCCCCTCCTGCACCCCAAACACCCCCAGCCCAGAGCCCTCAACCCTCCCACACCCCCAATCCCTCAGTCCCAGCCTGGAGCCCCCTCCTGCACCCCAAATCCCTCAGCCCCAGAGCCCGCATTCCCAGCTGGAGCCCTCACCCCCACCCCCTGCCAGGAACTCCCTTCCCGCACCCTGATACCCTCATTTCTGGCCCCACCCCAGAGCTCACACGCCAACCCCCTACCCCAGCCCAGTGAGGGTGGGGGAGAGCGAGCCACCGAGGCAGCGGGAATGTAGTAAGTGGGGGTCGGTGCCTCGGGAAAGGGGCGTGGCTCGGGTTTTCGGTTTTGTGCCAATAGAAGTTAGCAACTCATCTCCTAGTGTCTCACAGGCCCCTGCGGACCAGGGTCCCCAGCCTACGTGGGCCCCCTCGGTACAGCCTGTCAGTGTCTCATGCCCCCACACACGCTGGGGAGATGCCGGGGCCGCCCCCCCAGAAAGGGGCCTTACCTGGAGGGAGGCCGCTCTGCTCCACTTCCCGTCCAGGCCCAGCGCCCCCGGGGCGAGGGAACAGGAAGCTGTATCACCTCACCTGAGACCCGCCTCCCGCTCGCACCAACGAGGCCGCTGCTACCTACCCACCACGCGCGAGCCTAAGGCGCTTCCGGCCACTTTCCCCCAGCAGCCGTCGCCCGCCTATGACGTCACGCCCTCACGTCTCAATCGCAAATTATTTTAATCCGGGATGTAGCACATCGTTGAAACGTCATCAACGGCCAACGGGAAGGAAACTGAAAAATAAAGGGGGGGAAAAAAAACCGAGCACGAATTTTCCGGCCTGAGCGGAAGTAATGTGAGAGGACAACTTCCGGGAGGCGCGCAGGAAGTGATGAGATCAGCGGTCACTTCCGGTAGGTGGAGTGGGCGAGAATTGCCCGCCTCCCCCAGTTCTGTGTTGGCTCGCGCCCAGCAGGAGCCGGAGACGCCGGGTGGAGAAGCCGCAGCTGGAGCAGGGTGAGTGCGGGCCCCCGGCGGCCCCTGGAGCAGAGATCCCCGCCCCGCAATAAGACTCCCCCCGCGTGTCCTGCCTCAGCCGCGGCGTCCCCCGGCTCTGAGCCTGCAGCGGGGACCCCTCATGCCCTGCCCCGTTCCCTGAGGCAGGAGGATCCGTCCCCCCTCCCCGGGGCCAGCCCTTCTTCCTACGGGGGTCACCCTGGAGCAGGGAGCCTTCCTCGGCTCCTCTCCCCCCTGTCCCATCACTGAGCATCTCCAGGCGGGAGCCTCATGGGCGGGGAGCGGGGGGCAGGTAACCCTGCCAGGCGAGCCGAGCCCATGTGCTGTTTTCCCAGCAGAATCCTATGTGATCGTGCGACACTTTATCTGCAAGCTAAGTCCGGTCAGCCCGGCAGGAGGCTGTGGTGAGGACTGGAAACTGGCTAATAGCCCGTGAACAGAGAGCGATGCTCAACGGCAGTCAGTGGAGCCAGGGCAGGTGTGTGTGTCTGTGCTGTATTAGGTCTGTCCTTCACTAACGTCTTCATTAATAACTTGGCAGGAGCGAAGGGTCCACTAATGAAATTTGCAGCTAATACTACATTGAGAGGCTAGAGACGTGTTAAAGAGGATCTGGATACGTAGGCAAGAAATAACAGCAAAATAGGCTTCTTCTTGGAATTGAGGGGAAGGAAAGTAACTGTCAGTGTGAACATTCAATGGGAGGCAGAAACCTGAAGAGAGACTAAGGGGGAGAGTGAACTGCAAACTAGAGATCAGTTTGGAGTGACATATGACAGCCAAAACAGGACATCATAGTACTAGGCTGCACGGGCATAATATCATAGTGCAGGGAGCAGGGAGGCTCCATATGGCTCTTGTGTAATGGCTGGTTACATTACCAGAGAGAGTGGAAAATTGTAGGGAGCTCTAAGAAGAGCAACAAAAATGATTGAGGCTGTAGGGATTGACTCATAAGGAAAATATTAAAAGAGCTAATTCTTCATAGCTTGACTAAGAGATGAGTAAGGTTAGGGACATAACAGCCTATGAATATTTAAAGAGTGCCACATTGGGAGTATGACTAGAAGCAATGGGAGAAAAAAATAGGCTGAAATACGGTGAAAACTCCTGCTAGTGAGCTGTGTTGCTGCGGAACAGTCCGCCAACGGACATGGGAGTCCCATTGCTTATGACATTTCAAACCAGATTGGACAGAACTCTGGAAATTGTAGAAAAGAGAATCCTTGTATTGGCCCCAGGGGGAATGACTGATGACACAATAAGTAATTTCTCTTTCTAGCTGTTAAGAGTCTCTGTTCCCTAACTACCCCTTCACCGGGGATTCGCCTTCCTCACCCTCCAGCAGCAGCAGCATTACCCACAGCACCATCTTCAGCAGTAAATGCCACCCTACCTATTGTACCCAGGTAATAGTCTATTCCCTTTGGCTAGTGACCAGTGTTGGACTTGTATTTTGGACCCAGACTCTTAGCTCTCATTCTCTCTCACCAGAGCCAATGTCATTTAGTGATTATGGCAGGGTATGGGGCATTAGGACTCCTGCATTATCTTCCAGCTCTGCCACTGACAGTTTGTGTGACTTTAGACAAGTTGCCTGATTTTGACAAAAAGTAGTCTGTATGATTACTTCGGCAGCGACTACTGTTTGCGCATGAAACGGAGTAATTGTGAGCACAAACTGCCAGTTATCTGATCTGTACTATCCTTGATTTACAGACAGGGGAAACTGAACTTCGGTAAGAGGTGTCACAGTGAGAGAACTGGAAATACCACCGTCATATACAGTATATTGTACATGCAGTTCTTTTTCAGAATCTAGTTATCTTCTGTGCCTCAGTAGGCTAATCTATAATCTAAGAAAATAACACTTGCTTATCAAATGGGTTTGCTGGTTTAATTAACTTTAGTTATGTGCTCTGAGCATCTTGGAGGGAAGGTAGTGCAAAGGAACAAAGTAATATTACTTAAATTATATTAAGCCCATCTAGGCATTTGCTCTTTGCCTTTACTTTCTCCTTTGGGCTTTTGATCATCTAAAATCATTACAGTCTTGATGGTGTGATTCCACACTCTGCAAGACTGTGAAATGTTAATAAGTCCTGTTAGGGGTTGTAAACCTTCATCCTGTCACAACGGTCACAAATGTCAGATCTTTCTGATGCATGAATTTGCCCCACTGGAAAAATTCACATTAATGGCAGTCCTCTCCCTTTCAACATCATGTTGCTTTTGCTGCTTGAGAATATTTTTTTTTTATTCCATGATAATCATTGTAACTCTTGGTTATGTAATTACTTCAGCTAACTTTTATAGGATACAGCGTTTGGAAAAACATGTTGTGCAATAGGAAATGTCATCTTCTCTCAGCACCATCTATTAATTTGGACTGAGCTTTGTATTCTCCCTTTAGCAGTTGAAGTTGGCAGTTCTGCGCATTGTCTGTGAGCAGGGTTAGGAGCAGGAGAGTCAGTCTCCAGTTCTTAAATGGGGAATGGCAGTGGGAAAGGAGAGCAGATGGAAAGAAAGTACTGCCCTCTTAACTACTGACACTTCCGTGATTAAATCCTGTACTGACAAACTTTTTTTTTTGCTGTGGGATACTTCCTGTATTTTAGTCCATCTTAATCACAGTTTTTAATCAGATCTCCCAAACGCTTAATACTGTTGAAAAAGAGTAGCATCTAATTATTGAATATTTATGGCTCAGTTTACATGGCTTTAATGTGTATAGGAAAAATAGCACATTGTGGAAAGTGCTTGTAAAAATATATACTGCTGTGTTTTAGAGACTTAATATCTTGCTGCCCCTAGTAAACAGATGTTTTTTTTGCTTTCTGGGTTAACCCATTCTCTACTTCAATTCAGACCAAACCTGCCATTTGGCTTTATTTTAGACCTGTGTTAACAGTAATGCTGGACTGGAAGAAGCCAACCTTGGTGTTACTACCCCTATTCACCTGGAAAATGATTGCCGTTTGTCTTCCATCGTTCAGGGAACTGAGATTTTGAATTGGCTTCTCAGTTCTTGTCCCCAGATTGTCAGCCTCCCAGTGAGTGTGGTATTAGTGGCCATATCTTTTGGTATATGGATGTGACAGGAGACAACTTGTTACCTGGGAGGTAAAATTCTAATTCTTTCTGCAACCCGAGGATAAATGCTTCTGCTGAGTCAGGTCCCAGTGTTAGCTGGCTAGACTTTGGATGTTTCAGGGATGTGAAGGGCATGCCTTTCAAGTTGGCTGACTCATTCGTCAGTAGCAGCAGCTCTAGTATAACTATTATTTTTTTCCTAATTAAATTAATTTCTTAGCATCCCCTGCTGAAGAACCGTCTTCAAGGGATACTGTTCCCCTACTGGGAGGGCCAGAATTCACGTGTGTGACACAACTGGTGTTGCTGGGGTACTGCTGTCCAGTCATGTATGTCCTAATTGCAGATGCTCATGTTTTGAAAGATGTAGTTTGGTGTGTGGGAATCATGCAGAGCAGGTGAATGGAGAGACAAAGTCCCCAGTGGCAGCTGTAGAGTATTGCAGTCAGTGTTTCCCATTAAGTCCACTAGGAACCTCTTTTCTCCCTTTCAGATTTGAATAACCAGGGTATGTGGTTCCACATACAGAAGAGGCACTTTCTAATTTTAATGACCAGGCAGGCTTGGGCATCCACTTCCTGGGACCAAGTGTCATCCTCTGATTAGAAAACAGGGTAGAGTCAAATCAGCTACACCTCTACCCCGATATAACGCGACCCGATATAACACAAATTCGGATATAACGCGGTAAAGCAGCGCTCCGAGGGGGCAGGGCTGCGCACTCCGGTGAATCAAAGCAAGTTCGATATAACGCGGTTTCACCTGTAACGCGGTAAGATTTTTTGGCTCCCGAGGACCGCGTTGTATCGGGGTAGAGGTGTATAAAAACCTTCTGCTCTACCAGCCAGTGGTTGGGGGTCAGAGGTTGTGAAGCTCAAGGCTGCTATTGTGCCAGGACTACAGTGTTGCCCATTCACTCTAACTGTAGCCTTGCTGTCTGTTTGCTCACCCACAGTTAATTCCCACTGACATTCCCTTTTGGCACTAAACTTATTTCTACCTTGTGACCATCTCATTTCCTGTCTCTGTTTGTATTATAAGTCTATGGAAGCTGGTGATAGTCTGCTTGGCTGCTGTAGTCTAAACTTTTCTAATGCATTGTTGACTATTGTGTTAGAGCTGTATTAAAAGCACTAACGTTTGCAGGTGGCCCTGCATGAACTGCTTTGTGCTTCTTAACATTGGGGTTAGGTAAAGCGATGTACCCGTCTAACCACTTAAAAATGGGGTTATGTTCTTTTTTGAAGATTTCTCTCTAGTCTGTCATGTCTTGCTCAGAATCCAATATTTGTCCTCATATCAGTCTTTTCAAATCATTAATTCTGCCCAAGGGGCCGTTCAAACCTTGCCCCAGTTGGGCTGTATGGATGAGCGAAACTGTGACCCTTAGTCCAGTCTGTCCTCCCGAGTCACAGAGCATCCTCATGGCATTGATTGGATGTTGTGTGTAATACTTACCACTTAGTCTCTGTTTATTAGGTACAATAGTATTTCACAGTACTTTCCAGACACTAGCTTAATGTGGTAGAGGAAGAGCTTGTTGTCTTAGTGTGTTCTGGTTCAAAATCAGCCGGGGTGT